GAATGAGGATTGTGTTTTTTTAGGAAAGAAATTTTGAGTATGGACTGACGAGCGAAGCAAGGCATTGAACGTTGGTCGAGTGCAAGAGAGTTTAGGGAACCTATGGGTTAAGGGGCGTGAAGAACACTCCTTCCCTAGGAACCTAATCCAACTGAGTCATGAATGAGTCTAAGAATAGCCGAAATCTGAGTGATCAGAAAGAGTGAAAATGGAAAGGGCGCCCCTGTCTTTTGCTATGGCTGAACGGCCGGGTGGGCTAGTGCTGCTTGGGGCCGCGAGCCCCAACTCGAGTACTAGACGCTAAGTCGGATGTACGCATAGATAGTACATTACTGTGAGAAATGGAAGAAAGGGAACACCATGCAAAAAAAACTGAGATGAGATGACCACCTTCTAACCTCCAAGACATAAATGGGATTTGTAACCTCGAGGCCCACCCCCTCGGGCTCTAACATTGAGAAGGAAAGGAACGGCCCTAATCAGGCTGTTCGACTTGAGAATGGAAAGGAATGGCCCTAACCAGGCTGTTCGACTTGAGAATGGAAAAGAGTGGCCCTAACCAGGCTGTTCGACTTAAGAATGGAAAAGAACGGCCCTAACTAGGCTGTTCGACTTGAGAATGGATAATAACGACCCTAACCGGGTTGTTCGGGAATGGCCCCTGACAAGGGTCATTCCTTTTGAAATAGGCACTGGGTTCCCCTGCATATTTGATTGAGAAAGGTTGATTGAGGAAGGTTGATTGAGATTGTGCTGGAAAGAGCAATAAGAGATGGAAAAGGCCGGTCGGTCGGTCATTGAAATAGCCAATGGATGGATGAAAGAGATGGAAAAGGTCGGTGGGTCGGCGGCTGAAATAGCCAAGGGGGTGGAAGAAAGATGTGAATGAGAAGGGCAGGATAAAGAAGGCCGAGCCTTAAAGCCAAGAAGGGCAGGGACCGTTGGGACGATCAAAGACATTGGGTGTTGAGGAATGAGAGAATTGAGGATTGAATGGGCGGAAGGGTCAGTCTTGAGAAATGGTTATTGAGAAAATGACCACCAGACCGGCCATGTGGGTGGCCTTATTGATGAGAGGCTGTCGGACCAGCCATGAGAATCAGCCTTGGAAATAGCATGGGATTGAGTGTTTGAGAATTGAATATTGCATTGCATAGCCAGGCGACCCTAGGCAACTTGATGTAAGGTCGTCGGGCCGACCATGGAAATAGCAAGAGAGTGAGCTTTCCTTTTTTTTTCTAGTCTCAGGTCTCAACATAAGGGGGATAGCAATGCGTGCATCGCGACCCCAAGACCTGTACCCGTTAAGGGAAAAGTCTCAGCGCGACCTGCTCCTCATAAGAAGGAATAAGGGTTGAAGGACCAAAGCACCTCTCTCTTTGATTGATGTTGGTCGTCTGGAACTAACCCCGACAACGAGCTCTAGTCGGGGAGTTCAAACTGCGCCTCATGTTGAAACCTAAATGTCAAGGGCGTGGGGCCAAACGGGCGAGAGAGCCATTCTTTTTCCTAAGTCTCATTTTTTCTCCCCAACCACACGCCATGCCATAGAGGGGCGGCACGGCCGTTTGGAATGGACCACGGCTGCTCGCGTTAAGTTGAGCAGCACTGTCCAGAGGGAGGAATCGGGCGTGGTACCGGGTGGAAGCCGCAACCACCACATGGCGAGTGACACCCCCCTGGCGGATCATTACAACCATTCCGGGACTAACCGCGAGGTCTTCGTAACTGCACTCGCAGACTAATAGAGAGCCCCAACTCTCTTGAAAGGAAGAGGCCGGATCCAAGAAAACAACGCTCGGGAGGAACGATTCGCGAGAAAGCACTTACGGCAAGATGGGGTACTGGGAGGCTTGGACTGGACCTACCTTCCAGTGATTACGCCCGTCTCGTAAGCAACAGGTCGGGCTGGAGTAGGGCATGAGGTGAGTTATCAGCAGGGGGAGGACTGATCACCCTTCCTTTTTGGGCTGATGGGCCGGCATCCGTCTACTCAGTTGGTGGGCCAAGGTCTGCGTACGTCCGAGTGAGAACTAGTCGTGCGATGGGGACATCGCATTTTTAGTGGGGGGAAGGTGTGCCATCTACCGATGAAAAAGCGTGCAAAAAAAGGTTACCATGAGCGTAAGGATGGATGAGTAATTGACTTTGCGCAGGCTTGAGAAAAGGCCTAGCAAGATGTCCAGAAGAAAAGAAAAGATGAGTAATTGACTTTGCGCAGGCTAAAGAAAAAGCCTGGCAAGATGGCCAGAAGAGAAACGGATGAGTAATTGACGTTGCATGAGCTTGAGAAAAGGCCTGACAAGGTGTCCAGCCGCATGGGCTTGAGAAGAGACCTGGCGAGATGTCCAGAAGAGAAATGGATGAGTATTTGACCTAGCATGGGCTTGAGAGAAGGTCTGGCAAGATGTTCAAAAAAGAAAGATATGTGAAATTGGCTTTGCGTAGACCCAAGGAAAAGTCTGGCAAGACGCCCAGAAAAGAGATACAGGTATAATGGACTTTGCATGAGTATGAGAGAGGCCTGGCAAAAGGCCAGAAGAAAGGTGTGAATAAGAGGGACTGAGTAACGCGCATTTTAAAGCCTGGATACGAGAAAGGACGAATGAGGGTGAGACACATAAGCTAGGCAAAATGACATGGGAAAAATACATGGGAACTGGCTAAGCATGAGACTGAGGAAAGAATGACGGGAGAACATGGATTGCACGGGCCGAAAAGTAGATTATTTTTTTATGACTCCAAGAGAAATGAATGAGACGAAACCAAAATGATTTCTGCTCGAGAATGTTTTCTCAATGAAATGGGAAAATAGAGTTGAGATTACGAAGCACTTAGGGGGAGTTGTGCCTGGGCTCACCGATTCGAAGTGAGTATCACCACAGCAAAGGCGACGGTTGTACTGGACGAACA